CTAGCGTCTTCTACAGATTGTTCTCTTCTATAGATTTTATGGACGGTTGCTTAACTCCTGACTACTCATGGACTCCATGAGTAGTGTACCAGCTGGGCGAGTGCTCTGCAAAAGCCCAATGCAATGTGAGCAAGGCTTGCATAGTCACCTCACACTACACAACGAAGCATCAGTCGATCCCCGACCGAACAAGGCGCTAGAACCAGTATGGCTCGACATTCTGCTGCATGGGTATCGTCACCAAGACCTGGTCGTGGCTGTAGCAACAAGAGGTGTTGCACACAAACTGAACTCCCCACGACCACCGGATGGAAATCACGTCCGGAACCATACAAGCACACGGAAGTATACCCAAGCATTAATTCGAAGTGTTTCCGATGGACAAGCTTCAGGGACGTACCTTGTTCTCGAACTACCGACGGCCCTACGATGGTCGGAACTTCGCTTTAGCCCGTTTGGGTGCGTCCCTAAGAAAGACGTCGACCCTCTCTCGAAGCACGGCTTATCCATGACCTGTCGTACCCTTGCGAGACATCGACGGATGCAAAATCTATTCCTGCTGACTTGCCCGCCCTAGAATATGAATCTGTTCGACGCCTCGCGGAAAAGATTGAAGTTTTGGCCCGCCAGTACCCTCAACTACAAGTCAAGGTTCTTAAAGGCGATGTGAAAAGCGCATTTGGACTTATACCTGTGGATGCTAAGCTGGCCGCCCATTTTGCCGGATCGTGTGGGGGCTTGGCTATAGTCGATATGACTCTCCCGTTCGGTTGGACTGGTTTACCAGCTCATTATGGTGCGTTCGGTGGTGCTATTTCGTTTCTGGTGGCCCGAGAGAGCCCAAAATCGCTGGATCCCATCGAACAAGACGATGAGTCGTTCTTCTCGTTTGTGTGGGTGGACGACCACATTCTTCTCGAAGTTGATCGTGGAAACAGATTGGCCCTAGCAGAAACTGCTCTTCGATTGAGCATGATCGCTACGCTGGGGCCAAAATCAATCAACGAAAAGAAATTTTCTTCATGGTCTACCAGACTCGTTGCCCTAGGCTTAACTTGTGATACACAACGCCGTACGATATCGATTCCGGCAGATAAAGTACATAAAGCTCTCAACCGGATCTCAGATGCTCTATCACATCCAACGGTGTCTCGCCACCAAGTTGAGAAACTCCTGAGATCCCTACGTTACTTGGCGATCTGCTGTCGGTCGACACGCGCATTTCTCCAGCGTCTCCATCAATTGTGGCGACGTTCGTCACGATTCCAGAGTATTCGACTCCCTCAGGATGCCCGTCACGATCTTCGCTGGGTGGCTTCGCTGCTTCAGAATGGCGCAGCGAACAGGGTAGCAACGAGCATCATGGCCGACACGCTGGAACCAGCTGTGCATTTGTTCATGGATGCAAGCAACGAAGGCATTGCTGTCCTCTATCCGGCTGCTCGTGAGTATATCCGACTTCAATTTGATGAGGAAGAACGACTAGGAATGAAGTTGCCAACCTCCGGTAGCACTTCGTGGTTCAGTATCAATGTACGTGAAGCGTTAAGCGCTGTACTCTCTGTTCTCGTATGGGGACCTCAATGGCAAGCCACCTGTCGTCCGAAAGACAGACCGCTGCATGTGCGATGCTGGATTGACAATGCCTCCGCTGTCGCCTGGCTAGGAGATCACAATACCAAAACTCCAGCCGGCCAAGAGCTTACGAGAGTCTTGTACTGCGCAGAACTATCGTTCAATCTACACGTGACGAGCAAGCACCTCGAAGGCTCGTCTAACTACCTTTGCGGATCTCGGATCAAGAGCGTGGACTGGGCCAACTCTAACTCTACAAAAATGGACCAATCATGTTAATGGTGCCAACAGGATATTCCAACCGAATTCCGCAAGATCTACAAGCAAAAATTGCCGTCCTGCAATGGCAGTCGCTCTCCGACACGTCACGCCAAAGGTATCTCAACACATCGAGACAATGGTGTCGGTTCTGCTGTCGCCATGGCTTCAATCAGTGGCTATCACCAACCGACCTAGAAAAGCAATCCATATAACTCACTATGTTTGCAGTTGAGTGCTGGCAAGGCCGTAACGAGAACGCGAATAATCGAGTTGACACCGTACGTGCTAAACTCAGCCATGTCCGATGGTGTCATCAGCTTCGTGCCGGATTCCGACCGTCATTACAACCACAACACGATCTGGTCATCCATGGCATGCAACGTCTCAGTCCCCCTCGACGGAAACGTGCAGCAGTCTCCATCGACATGCTTCGCTAGATCGCCTCATCAGCCGACATGTCCATCGCCCAGCACCGCGTCATTTATGGGACTGCACTCCTGGGCTTCTTCTTTTGTTTGAGAGGATCCGAGTACCTATGTTCAAGAGGAAAGCGACATGCATGCTGTCTCCAAGTCGGTGACGTTATCGTACGTGACATCAACGGTGCGGACACAATCAGCTTCAACAAGGCAACGTCGGTGCAGATCACACTAAGAGGAAGCAAGACCGACCAATCAGGACGAACAAGCACCCGCGTGTTACTGAAGAGCGGTATGGCTCCTATATGTCCCGTTTTGGCTGCTCTACTACTTCAACGCAACGCGATCCAGCTGAAGTTGGTGCCTGAGTCACCACTGTGCTCCACCGGTTCCCGACGAGTGTTATCGACAGAGACAATGACGAAGGTTTTGCGTGTCTCAGCTCTACAAACTGGCGAGAAACCAGGGCGAATTTCGACACATTCACTTCGAACAGGAGGCGCGACAGCTCTACACAATGCTGGAGTAGACGCGGACACAATACGCAGGCACGGTCGTTGGGCTTCTGATGCCTACAAGGTATACATTCGAGAAGCTCCAGCGTCGGCAATTCAACTCGCCAAGCTCATGGGCAATGCATCTGTCAAGCCCAGTCAAACCAACCTTCCACGTGGGGCAACACGAGCGCAAGCGCTCGAGGGTTCGACCAATACCAGCTTACTATTTGCATCCCCTAGAAACATGTCATCGTGCTGAAGGAAAAGCTTTATTTCGTGGAATCATTTGCTTTCCGAGTAGAACATCCGTCGCTGTTCGTTCGAATGACGATTTGCTAAACAACCGAGATAGGTATATTCTTTAAGGAGTTTGCCTATATATTAAAGAGCACAATCACATAGATTTAGGTGGTGTGCTGTCAAATTTACAGGTCTGCGGAGTATACTACCCGTGGACGTTTATTCCTACTGTAAGTAGTCCTTGTCAAAACTCAACAGCAATAATTTACAAGTTGTTGCTAGGACTGCAGCAATACAACAGTAAAAAATCTGGAGCTTCCCCGTGGATAACACGGTATTAGTGTTATTTTTTTTCTGAATAGGTTGCTTCTGAGTCTCTGTACTGGCATACATGGACTGTTCAGACGTACTCAATTGTACCGACGTACCAGCACACTACGTTTCCTTAACAAACCAACTCAATCTCTTTCCTAGCGCTAGCAAGACACGCAAGCTCCTCCTTGAGTTGTTGGCGCTCCGCAATTTTGTGCTCAGGGTCCTGCATCAACCTCGCCAGCTTGTCGTCCGTCAAACCGTTCAGCTCGTTGGTCATCTCAACGACGAACTTGCGCAGAACTAAATCATTTAGTCTCATTGGGATGGCATCCACAAACCGAGGAACCGCCACATCCAAGTACGCATGCAGAGCCACCTGCATCTCGAGAACTTCTCGATCTTCCGTGGAGAGAGTCGCCGCCTGTAAAGTCTTCATTACCTCAGTGAGCAGGACTTTCCCATCCGAATCGACGGGAACACCAGCCTTCACCTGCTCCTGAAGAGCTTGCAAACGCTGTTGATCCAAGTCCTGAAACAAACGTTCGTCTTGAGTGTACGGCCGGTCTTCAGCGGTCAGTAAGGTTTCTATCTCCTGACTAGCTGCTGCAACAACACGATCGAGGACATCGGCAGCTGTGCTTCTGATAAACTGCACGACGCGCGAGCTCGCATGGATTTCATCGGATACGAAGTCGGATACCAATTTCGTCTGAGATTGATATGAGCTCAAAAGTTTGTTAGTCGGTGGTCCCCATTTGTCCACACACTGACGAAACAGGTTACAAAAAACCTGATACGACGTGAAAATCGCAAGCTCGTCACCCCGGTTTTCGCGAATAAATTGCTTAAGTATAGCTCGCTCGTCGTAGCGCCAGTAACATTTCGACTTCCACTGAATGAATCCTTCACACCAAATGTCTGTTCCTTTGATCTCTTTCACACGACCACTTTGCCACACACCGTCGATTTCAATCTGCACAAAATCTCCGACAGCAACTTCTTCCTGCGTCTTCTCACTTCCAGCTTCAGTAATGCGGTCTTTGGTTTCATTGATAGCCTCCTGGAAAGAAGCTTCCTCCACACGCAGTACTGCACGGAGGCGAGCATTTATCTTGCCAACTACGCCATCCTGTTGCAAGGATCTCGAAGACGAGGTTGGTAGTAGCTCATATCTTCCATCCATTGCTGCCTCCACCAGACGCAGATACTGATCGGCCCATTTGCCAAACTGTTGGCGCTGCGCTC